GGAGCGTCCCAGACACAGTGAACGGCTCCTCACGTGGTTCCCAGAGGCACCGAGCCTGAGGGACAAGGGGGGCGAGTCGCCAATGAAACCACGTGGGATCTGGCTCGTTGTTGGGGATTCACGTCAGACACATATGTGGAGGGCGGGGACAAGGACGCCAGTGATGTAGCCAGAGCAGTCTGCTGTCTGCAGGCTCCAGGTGAGGTGCCGCTGGGGCGGGTCTGCACACGGGTCTGCGGTCTGGGAGCCTGCCCGGTCACACGCAACTGAACAAACTACGTCCTCGTGGTTGCTTGAAAAGCTTTTCCTTTTAACCTGAAATGTTTTTAGCCGTGGGATATATTCTCATTGGCCTTGACCTGTAGGAGACAGAAGGAAGCCTGTGAACTTCTAAGGCTCATGGCCTCTTGCAGCTGGGACAGGAGCTTGCTCCTCGGGGAGTGGGACGGGGGGCCAGGAGTAGGAAATGCAGGTGCAGTGGGGATCCCCCCACACCCCCCAGCACACAGCAAGACCCAGCGTGGCATCGGCACCACCAGGGCTGGGAAAAAGTCACCACCGCGAGCTTTGTAAGACGCAAATGGAAGCCCAGAAACCACACATGAGAAGGACGTTTCACAGGACTGCAGGGACAGAGAGGCGAGAAGTCAAAACCTAGGGACACATGAAGGGAAAGTGAGACCACAGGGTGCTGCCACTGCCACCCGAGCAGGTGCTGAAAGCCAGCAGGTGGCCCAGAGCCGTGGACGCACGAGGCACAGGTGACAGTGAGGAAGCGAAGGAATGAAGTGGGAGGTGGCGGGGCTAAAATTTAAAATTGACTGTAAAGGCATATTATCGACATAGCTGTGTGTGTGTGTGTGTGTGAATAATAGGCCATGTTAAATATTTTAAGTGGAGAAAAAGTACAAAGAGGAATATATCTAAAAGCATCCATATACATATCAAATCTATGTTCTGCTACGGTAGAAAGTAACTGGAAATGTGTAACTAAAATTAGCCAAAACACAAACTCCCAGACCCCATAATCCAATGTGAATGGAGCCACGGGCAATGAAGCGCTCATTCTCCACCAAATGTTTTCACCCCATTTACGTCTTAGTCAGAGCCAAGTGCCCCTATACGTTAAATCTGTGCAATCTCAATCCGAACGCACTTATTATCAAATATTTCGACTCCCTGTTTAAGACTTCTGATCAGTTTTAAAATGATGTTTCAAGATAAATTTAATAACAAAGCACAGCAGGGCCTGGAAACCTCAACCACTTATTACGGTCTGTAGACACAGTCTGTAATCTTGTTTTCTTAATAATGATGGCAGCAGTTTCGGGTGCACACAGATTTTATGACTTCACTTCCCAGACCCCAAATTAAAGAGGCCCTGGAGCCTGGCCCCACCGTGTGTGGGGCTGTCCCTCGGATGGGCACTGGTAGGGCAGAGGACGGAGGCGGGGCTGCCGAGGCGGGGCTGCCGGACGCTGTTCTGGGGGGCGGGGCCTGGCCCTGCACGCATTCAGCCATATGTCAGTTCCAGCCACAGCCACAAACACCGAGAAATAATCAAGATGCTCTCAGATGATTTGATATTGTATCGGGGACATGCCTGACCCCTTGAATTTATTAAGAACAATTATAATTATACAATAATACAATTCCCCCCAAAATTCCTAGGCCTACTTTCTACTCCACATCAAATAATACCCAACTTCTACATTCTAGGATGAATTGTTAACATAAAGAATAGCTGATTTACATGATGTTACTAAGCAGTATTACCCCCAATAATTTTAATAGAAAAAATAGAATAGCCCAGAAATAACATCTTTAAAAAATATAGTTTGAATTAAATGGGGAAAAACTTAATGGGACAAGTAACTATACATGCCATCATCTTAAACAATGTCAACACATTCTCTGATATGTTAGTCAAAATCCCAGAAAATTTAAAAAAAAAGCTCCCCATGTGAGTGCTTTCCTATGGCGCACACTTGATACGCCATCAGTGTTTGCCTGCTTGCGAGAGTGGAAGGAAAAATGTTGCGTTTGGCTTCACGGATAGCAGGCTGCTCCACCCAATATTAAGTGGGTACGCTCAAGTTCCCCACTTCAATTAATTTTTAAAAATTTATCCCTGGTGCCAATCACTTGATTAAATTGTTAGAGCGATGAATACCACCTGTATCCGCATGAAGCTCACATGTTGTTGAAATTGACTGGAAACTTCCGAGGAGTTTCACGTAAGCACAGGGCTTGGATTCGGCCATTGATCAAATGTGCCGCCAATGGAGAGCGCTCCGCTTTCGGGGAAGTGTGCGCTTCCTCCCTAAGACACAACTCAGTGAGTGTCCTGCCAAACCCTGAACACCCTGTGCCTTCCTCAAACGGGTCCAGTGGGGGACGCAGCCCTGTGGCCCGTCACCAGCTATTGGGAGGCACTGACAAATAAGTTTGAAAACTTTACCAAAAGGCGATTTGCCTTTCCCAGTGGTCGAGAACATTCTGCTCATTATCACGCATCCACTGAACTCTAAAATCCCTTAAAGTCACGCCACGTCTGACTTGGGAGTTTTCCTGTGTTGGTCCTCCTTCCCAGAAACACCCTTTCCCCAGGCAATTAAATGAGTCCCACGCCATTGTTTTAATAAAATTACTAAGGAAAACACACAATCTCAATCCCACTAAACACACATACTCGTGTTCTCTGCAAAGATAAGGAATCAACTACCAATGAATAATTCAGTCGGACATTCGATCCGTGAATTTGCATTCACTAATCTGCCTGTGCCTTCAGCAGCCCTCCGGAGGGGCCCGGGGAGAGCTGATTGTGCAATGTGAAATCTCCTTCCTTCGTCCTGCCCAGCTAGCAATTTTCTACACCAGAATGAGTCAAGTTCATGACATCAGTCGGAAAACTGATCGCGGACTACTTGTCTGGTTTGCTAAGCATTTCGGCAGCAGCACAGGGAAACCACATTTATTCCCCTGGAGAGCTGGGAGGGCTTGGGGGTGGGTGGGTGGGGGAGGTCAGCCTCCTATCAGGCAACAGAGGAGCAGGTCAGAGAGGGGGGACCCTCACTGCCCCAAAGAGCCACCAGCACCCCATGGCCACCAAGCACTAACCTAAGCCAGAAATCTCACTCCTTATCTCTCCTGGTAGCAGGCGATACACCTACCTGACATAAAAGATTCATAACGCCCAAGACCGGCTCTCCCCCTGAGCTTTAACCCACAGGACTCTGTCACAAAACATACAGTTCTTGTCTGGAAAACAGAAGCACATTGATACTTTCTTGATGCCTCGTCCTAAAGGTAATCAGACAAATAACAGTGGACGAACTAACTGGGAATAACAGAGGTTAAAAGCCGTGTGCTCCTGTTTCTTGGGCAAAGAAGCAGATCGGATGCTCTGGATGTGCCTGTGGGGCGAGAACCAGAGGCGTCAGTGGTGCCAACGCCACGTCTTGTCCTCGTCACAGCGAATGTCCTGCGTCCTGCCTTTTCCTGGGGACAAAGATGTGGAGGCCCCCAGAGCCCCCAAAAGCGGTGAGGACCACAGGCCGGGTGGAGCCCCAGGCCAGAAAGAGCCCGTCTTGGGGGTTGTGGCCCCACTTCCATAGTCAGAGTTCTCCAAACACTTTGACACATCCTCTCATCAGTTTTTCTGGCCTCTTCCAGGTGCTCGCCACATTCCTGTCTCAGGTGACAGTGATAAAATGACTCAGTCCTCCTAGGGAATCCCAGAGTCAAAGGTAATTCTGCTTCTCATGCCCTCTGTCTTGGTGGGACTCACACTCTCTTTCCTCTGGGGGGGGTGTGTGTGATTCGTTTGTTCAGAGGGAATTACATAACCACCACTAAGTGCAATAAAAAAAAAAGTTCTTGTCAACATTCCTCAGCCTCAGCATTATTTGATTTGCTAACCTGGCTCACTCTTTCCTGGCATTAAAGGGAGAGGTTTTTGTTTTGTTTTGAAGCCAATTTGAAAACCTCTTGCAGACTTGGGGAACAGAGGCCCGTGGGCACAGGGCAGGGTGAGTCAGTGAGACGCAACTGCGGAGTGAAGAGATTAGTTGTCCCCAAAGCGGCCTGGTTCCAGAGCAAGTGCTGGAGCGGAGAGCGGGCCCCCCGGGGAGCAGGTGCCTCCGCCCCACTCATTCCATTCCCAGGACTCAAGGGCGGCGGCTGCTGCCCTCAGGGACCGCGCGTACCCCTGCGCAGAGGCCCGCGGCCTGGTCAGGTCGCGCGCGGTTCCAGCGCCAGCTCAGCCCCGGCGGGGCTGTTTCTCAGAGGGAGGGAGTAGCTCTTTCTGAGAGTCAAGTGCGCGTGTGGCGTGTGATCCGCACACTCGAGGTGCAAAATGGAAACACGCCCTTTAGGTGCGGGCAGCGGCGGGGCCGGACGCCCTGACTTTAGGTCCAAGGCCGGGGTCCCCTCGTCAGCTCGGTTCCACCCTGCACTCTGTCCACTGCCCAGGGGACCCAGAAAATAAAGTCGGGGACCGGGACGATTGTCCTGAAAACCTCCAGGCGGTGCCCTCTACACGACCCTCTGCCACCGCGGGGCCCAGCGTCTTCCAAGTCTCAGAATCGCCCCTTCTCCCCGCCGGAGCCCAGGCCCCAGACGCCGGCACCCCAGGGACCGGGCTGGAGTCGGAGTTCCGAGCCTCCGCCGCCTTCTTACCCCAGGGGTGACGCCCGAGGGGTTGCGGGAGCTCAGCCGGGGCTCTGCCCGCGGGGACCCGGGGAAAGGCGCGCGCCCGCACACACTCACGCGCGCGCGAAAAGGGCTCGGGCCTCCGCCCGACACTGTCACCTGGGCAACGACCGGAGCAGAGAAAGTACACAACCCCTTTCCCCCTCAGAGCGGGGGCGCCCTGCCTACGGCAAGCGCTGCTGCCTATGTCCCCGGCCCGCAGTCCGCCGTTCTCCCCGGCGCCCCGCACACTCCCTCGGTCCCCGCGCCCTCCCCGGCGCCCGCGTCCCCGCCGCCGGGCCGCTTACCCGGTCGGGGGCTTAGCCGCCAAGGCGCACGGCGCGTCCATGGAGCCGGCGGGCCCGGCGGAATCAGGCGCTGGCTGTGGCCGCCGTCCTCATTCACTTTTTTCGCGTTGACCCATCGTCCGCCCACGCGCGCCGGCGGAGGACAGCCGCGGGCCTCCAGGCCGGGACTGGAGGCGTCTGGGGCAGGCGGGGGCCGGGCCACGCGGGGAGGGGCTGTGGAGCCAGGTGCGCGGCACCCCCGCCGGGCAGGCTCCGCCGCGCCCACCGAGCGCCGCCCCCGCCGCAGCGCCCCGCCCGGCTTGCTCCCAGGACCTCCGCCCCTGGAAGGGAGCGCGCTTCTTCGGGGCCGGGGCCGGAGGCGCAGCTGCCAGGCAGCGGGGTGGAGCTGCGGGAGGGGAACCACCTTGCAGTAGGGCGGCGGGAGGAAGGCGAGGTGGGCGGACCCGCGGAGGGAGGACTGAGGTTGCAGAAGGAGCAGTGAGTGACAAGTGTCGCTGGACTCCCGTGAAGACCCTGGAACCCAACTGAACCTTCATGCACGCAACAGATACCTCTTTCGGAGGGTCTCGAAGTGGGTCCCCGCCCAACAGCACCTAGGGTCGACAAGCACAGCCTCCGCCCCCGTCCTGGGAAATCCGAAACAATGGGGCGGGGGCGGGGGCGGGAGCGGGAGCTGGAGCTCCTTTCCGAAGCACAGAAAAGTTTGCCAGGCCCGTCTGCCTGACGCTGAGGCTGCAAAGCCCCGCGAAGGCGCCCACTGTGGCCCCCCCGGGGGGGGGGGGCAGAAACACCAGCAGAACATCCCAGGCTGGCGCCCCAGCCAGTCACCCGAGCGCCCTGATCTGCCACAACTTCACCCTCACGCTCCTCTTAAAACACCCCAAGGCAGCAAAAGGGATTTGGGCTAGTGCGAAAGTCCGACCTACAAAGGACTAGGAATAAAGGGCCGAGAAGACGCAGGTCCAAGAGATCGGCGTGGGAGGAGGCGCGCCTCCGGGGACCCTACACTTGGTAAGGTGCAGGGCCCCCTCCCCCAGCCCTCTCAGCCGGTCCTGTGTGGCAGTTAACACAGCCGGGCGTCTCAGCCTGCAGACAGAGTGCAAAGTCCTTGCCACAGCACCAAAGGCCTTGGGGCTCAGGCGGGGAGCCCACCCAGAGTCACATTCCTACCTGTGCGCCTGGCCTTGGACTTCACTGCCCGGCAGCTCAGCCGTTGCTCTCCGGAGGACCGCGGCCTGCGGCCTGGGCCTCGGGCTCAGCCTCGGCTACTACTCGCACCTGCGCTCTGTGCTCAGACCGCAGCTTCCTGGGCCGGAAGCCCAGGCTCCCCTTGTCCTGCTGATTTTCTTCTGAGCATTTACCACTGTGTGTGTATTTAAATAAGAATTTGTTCATATTTATGACAGTTTATAAGTATGTGTGTACCCACTTAGGAACAAACACATGGATGTCTACATTTGTGTGGATGAATTACAATGTGTCGGTCTGTATACATTTTGTCCCAGGGCGTCAGCAGTCCCGCAGCGCCCCATCCACCTCACTTCCCTTCATCTCTGCCCCTAACACCTAGGCCAGGTCCTGGTGGGGGAGTGGGGCAGGGGCTGCTTCACAGAAGGGAGTGCAGGGAAGGAATGAGTCTCCAGGCCTGTTTCCCCACCTCTAGGATGGGAACCAGGGTCTTCCCAGCATCTTTGCAGGCTGCCTTGCTCTGGACACCAGGGGCCGGTACAGACCAGCAGCCTGGGAGGCACCTGGAACCCAGAGAGGAGAAGGAATGGTGGGCAGGGCCCACACCTGCTGAGGACCCAGGAGAAAGTCTGGCCCATAGGTAGGCCACAGGTAACCCAAGGCCATTTTAGTGGTGTCACGGTCCCCACCTGGGACACGTTCCACAGCCTGGCCCTGGCACAGCCCTGCAGCCACGCCTACAGCCTACAGCCGGGCCTTTGCCCCTGCTGCACAGAGCACAGCTGAGGGCCCCACTTGGTGCCCTTGGGCCAGTGGTCAGTGTGTGGCCCTGCCCACGCCTCTCAACTACCGTGCTGTCAGCTCTGGACCCAGGAGCAACAGCTGCCACTGTTGCCAAGGCCACCTTAGGGACATTTTTTTCCCTGCCCTCCCCGCCGTGCCCATCCCTGGCTCCCACTCCCCGCCCCCCAGGCCTCAGCTTTCCCCTTGGGGAAGAGCCCGCCCTGGACAGCAGCAGCTCCAGAGTCCTCCCAGCAGCCAGTGGGCCGCCTGGAGTGCCCAGTGACCCTCCACCTGCCCTGGGATTGGAGGAAATTGAAAGGGACACTGCACCTCAGAGGCACCTTTGTCACAGCAGTGCTGCCGACATTATACTAGGTCAAGACACTTCTGAGACCTTGTTACAATGTAGATTGATCCCGTGTGTTTGGGATAGGACCCCTGAGTCTGGATTTCGAAACCGCTCCCAGCCAGGCAGAGCTGCTGCCCAGGGACCCAACTTTGAGTAGCAAAGTTCAGGGTCACACACTTCAGCTGCAGACCCGGCCCTCCTCTCACTGGCGGGATGACTGAGAGTGATTGCCTTCCATCTCCAGGCTTGGCTTCCCTCCTCCATGAAGTGGGGATCACGAGGAACAGATCCAGGTTTTGCAGGGCAGGCTTATCCTACTTTAAGTATGTTACAAACCTTTTCTAAAGCATAGCATTAAATCAATGTATAGAGAGACCACAGTGGACATTTATTTTGAATGCACTATGGGCTGAACTGTGTTCCTGCCAAAATTCATAGGTTGACATCCTACCCTGTATTTGGAGATGGGACCCTTTGAAGCTCATTAAGATTTGATGAGGTCCCAAGGTGGGGACCTGGTTCTTCAGGACTGGGGTCCTCATAACTAGAGGAAGAGACACTCTCAAGTCTGTTTCAGACCAGGCTTCAATAATTTTTATTTTAAAAAGTGCAGTAAGTTATTTGAACAGATGTGTTTTATGTAAACATCATTGGCTGACAGCAGCAACTCAAGCATTTAGGGAGAAGCCTTCCTTGTTACTGAGGTAGAACCCGCACACCATAGAGCTCATCACTTCAGGTGTGTTATCCGGTGGTGACAGAAACCTCTGGTTGCACAGAGTTGTGCAACCATCACCACTCTGCAGCTTCAGAACACTCTTACCACCCCCCCCCCTAAAAAAACAAACAAACCCTGTGTCCATGAGCACTTTCTCCCTCACCCTCCTTCCGGAGACCCTGCACTCCCTGCCATTATGTGCCCACAAAAGCTGTACCCCACGCCCAGCACCCAGCCCAGCTCCCCCGTGACCCGTTCCACACGGCAGACACAGAGGGATTTCCACCTGCCCGCACCTGGGTGAAGAACTCACTGCCAAGCAGCCCATGCGGAGAATGTGTAGGTCCAGCTCTCCTGCCACTTGGTCAGGAGCTTTTATTTTAGTCACCAACTGTTGCCGTTTTGCTCCTGGGAGGTCACAGGAAGAGCGAGGCTGTCCCTTGAGCACAGAAAGGGGAGGCCTCACCTCAAGGCCCTCCTTGGAGACGCTCTGCCCTGAACTCACGTGACCCCAACCTTCGCCTTCAGCCCACGCGAGGGTTACGCAATGGGGTTTAGGATTTCTTGCCGTCTTTTCTGGAGGGATGCACCTGTTCTGAACATGCACCCACCGAGTTATGACGGAAGAGGATTTTTGTTCGGCCTGGGCCCGTGTGTCTTCTGCCTCCACACCTGACGTGGCCTCTGAGAGCTCCCCCAAGTTCTGGCGCAGTGGCGTTCAGTTCTGATGGCCTTCCCCACGCCACCCCGGCCTGAGGACTTCCATCTCCTCTCCCGCTGCCCTGCCCGTCCGCACTGCCGCCTCCCGTGGCTCCAGAGCGGCAGGACCCGGCCGATTGGCTGCGATGGCTTTTCCAAATTGTCGATTCCTGGCTTTGAAAATTGGTGGTCCTTGTCACCCTGCATGGCCCCCTACCCAACGTGACAATTTCCTCCTTGCAGGGAGTCTGTAGGCTGCATTTTGAAGGGAGGAGGGGAAGCGTGGCTCTGGATTCTTGTGTCCCCAAACATCCAATAGTCAGGAGGGCTCCCGGCTGCCATCATGGTGCCTGCCTTCAGCTCCAGGCCAGTGGAGACCTGAGGGATGCTCAGCCGGGGGACGCCGCCAGGGGTCCCATCTCACGAGGACCTGAGGAACCTTCTGGAAAGAGTGCATCCTGCATGTAGAGGGTAGAGAAGTGCAGGTTCTGTCATCAGAGGAGGTCACGCTCACCGCAGCCTGTGACCAGGTCCACATCTCTGGGGATGCTGTGGCTCTGGCAGGTCCAGGAGGCCACCCCAGTGTCATGGCACCATGTGGTGTGGTGTGTGGAGGTCCCCACAGCCAGGGGATGGCGGCCCCGGCAGCTGGACGCGGCCTCAGAGCCAGGAGGGCAGGGGTGCAGGGGGGCACTGAGGGGGCCTCCGGGCACTCAGGGCTCTGCTCTGTCCCTCAGGGACACCCCAGGATGGCCCCCTGGCGAGGAAGAGAGGCAGGGATGATTCCCTTGCTGCCGTAGATGGGCATTATTATTCTCCCAGCTTCATTCCTATACACCTGACAGACAACATGTGTTAAGTCTAAGGCATATGACGTGATGACCTGATACACGTGTTGCAAAGTGATGGCCACAGTAAGTGAATTGGTACATCCAGTATCTCCCATAGTTGCAGCTCAGTTTTCTGTGTGTGGTGGTGACTTTTAAGATATGCTGTGTTAGTCACGTAAAATATATAACACAACATGGTCCTTGGTCACCATGCTGGACACGACACCCCCGACCTTCTGCATCTTGTAACTGAAAGTTTGGACCCTGAGACCATCTTCATCTTGCGGCTCCCACCCCCGGCTCCCTGGCAACCTCCAGTTGCTCTGTTTCTGTGTGTTTGTTTTTGTTCTAGACGTAACAGAGAGAAGTGAGACCACGCGGTGTGTGTCTTTCTCCCTCCGACAATGTCCCCGAGCTCCGGGCCCTCCAGTGCCATCCCTGCTGCCACCAACGGCAAGATTCCGCCTTCCTTTTATTGCGATGTCTCTTGTGAGTTGTCACGGTGCTTTTCCCTTGTTATTTCCTGTCATCCTAAGTCCAGAAAACCTACACATTTTAAATCAGTGGCACGAATCTTGCCATTCATCTTCCTATTGTGCGGTGCCTGCTTCAAATGGAATTCTACCAGGATGTGGCTCACAGGCGGCTCATCAAAAGGCCGCAGTCTGTGTTCTGTGGCTCACGCTGGCACACGGATTTCCGTCACACCAGAGCGGCGGGGACGCCGCGCAGAGCCCGCCCTCCTGACCTCAGGCCCCCTCCTAACACAAGTGCACGCTCCCGACG